GCACGCACCTAACACATGCATGCACGCACGCACCTAACACATGCATGCATGCACGCACCTAACACATGCATGCATGCACGCATGCATGCACGCATGCATGTGTTAGGTGCGTGCGTTCGTGTGCGCGCGTGTGTTGCTTTCGTGTGTGTGCGTGCGTGCGTTCGTGTGTGTGCGTGCGTGCTTCTAGACGCGTGGGTGCGTGCTCCTATAGGCGTGACGTGCGTTCCTGCGTACATATGGGTGTGTGCTCACGTACGCGAGTCATCGTCAACGTCACCGTTATCGTCATCGTCATCGTCACGCACCGACGCGAGCAGTCTGCAGCAACATTATTAGCAAGCTCGTGAAATACGGAGTTGCCACCGACAGTGCAAACATTGACCGGAATAAAGGACGCGCTGCCGTTTATTATGACGTTCACAGTGCTAGACGAAGCCAGCTAAGTCATTACGCTCTACGTTATAACCTCGCTCCTCCCATCAGCATCATCAAAGGGGAGGTTGGGGTTTCACCTTCCCGGTCACCCTCACCTGTTTTACTCCATCTGCACGCTTGCCGTCGCTCGCGGCGGTCGCGGCGTGTGTAGTGGTGAGTCACGGATGCGGAGACAGACGGATTGATGGATGGTTGCTCGTTAGATGCTGCGAGGAGTCATTGCACGAAGAACTCAATGTGTGTGTGTGTGTGTGTGTGTGTGTGTGTGTGTGTGTGTGTGTGTGTGTGTGTGTGTGTCTGACACACACGCACGAACACATACACGCGTATAAATAGATAAAGAAATGAATAAATTAAAAAATAATGAATATATATCATATATTATATATTCCGCTGCTTCTGCTGCCGCTAATGATGGCGGCGGGGATAAATGTTGCTCTGGCAACGTGACGGCCTATGTATGGTTAATGCATAGCAAATGAACACGTAATCACACTTACTATTACTATAGAGTGGCTGCGTTCCTCTAGCACCCGCATACAGGTATTATACGGTGGCACCTGTACACGGTAGCACACGTGCATGCCTGTGCATCACAGCTACTACTGCTATCGCGCATAATGTCCCCCAGGGTACTGCCGGAACGTACCCTGGGTACGGTCCGGTATACCGGAACGTACCCTGGTAACTATTTGATATGGTTAGGGTTAGGGTTAGGGTTAGGGTTAAAGAGTAGGCGTAGGCGACTCCCTAGACTCGTTAGGGGACTAGGCGACGTACGGTCCGGCATATTAGATAGTACCAGGGTACGTTCCAGCAGTACCCAGGG